TGGGGCCACGATCTTCGTGAGGGGTGTGCCGAAATGAGTGGGTCGGACGCATGCGGGCGGCGCCCCTAGGGTCGGAGCTCCCTATGCGGCCACGAAATACAGAGGGGGTGCAAGGGATGGGAGGAAGAGAGAGGGGGAGGAGCAGATGACAGGAACGTGGAGAGCTCTCTTTCAATGCGAGGACCCAACACCACATGATGGTTGGGAAAAACAGCGCTACGTTTTTGAGCGTGGCCCGTCGCTGTGGATCTGAATGATTTCTACGTCTTCTGCTTTCTTGTCAAAAGCTGGTCCTTGACTTCACTGCTGTCTTCGCTCCCGCTCTCCTGTTCCGGCCGCCTGCCGTCCCTACCGCTCCGCGCGCAGAGCGCAGAGGTAAAAACGCCAACAACAGCGCCCTAACACCGGTCTAACATCAGCGCGGAACAGGCCCGGAGGCCCCGCGACCAGCCAGCAGCGACGACCAGAGGAGAAGCATAAACATTACAATACAAATATCGGGAGGACTGGACGCAGGGAGAATGAACTAAGGACGTGGTAGATCGTGGTAGACGGCAGCGTGGATCAGCGCAATCAACTGATCTGAAAGCGCAAATGATGAGCCCGGCGCGGCCCCAATTAGGGGACAATTTCCTAGCGCATGGGTGCAATGCTTGTGCTTGGCATTGCTTGGCATTGCTTGGCATTTCTTGGCACCCGGGGAGCCCGGGGACCCCCGGGAACCCAGGGAACCTGGGGAACCCGGGAAACCTGGGGAACACGGGGACACTGGGAACCAGGGGAACCCGAAGAAACCAAAGACCCCGGGGCACCCGAGGAATCTCCGGGGAACGGGCAAAGTAGCACCCTGAGACACCAATCTTTACTCAAGTAAGAGCCCCTTAAGCAAGCCTAGAGCTCAAAACGCAAAAACAAAACGATTAGTCTTTTTCTAGCGTTTCCATTTTTGTTCGGACCTAAAAACGCTAGAACATGATTTTCAACACGTCGAATTAAAAGCTGAAAAAAACGCCGAGGGCATAATTCAGAAGAACCTAGCTCGTCAATGTGGTGTGAACTATGTCGTGTAAGCTACGACATGCCATGTATGTTTCAGGAGCCAACGTACTCACCCATGTGGTGTGAGCTGTAGATTGGATTGCAATCGATGGCGTTGCAACGTAATGGATTGCAACTGATTGGATTGCAATGCGAAGGCCGACCAGGCGGCCAACACGGCCCAGACGACGTGTGGCGAAGAGGCGGCGACGGCGAGGACATAGCCGCCAGACCAACACTCAGGCCAAGACGACGGGCGGCGACGAGGCGGCGACGGGGAGTACATAACCGCCAGACCAAGATTTAGGCCCAGTGTCTTTGACAGAAGACAGAACTCCTAAGTGCAAGCACTATTTGTCGAAACTGGATGAACGGATGACGCATGACTCGTGTGCTTTTACGCGAAGAAATAACCAATGCACTGCGCACGTGTCACTCGGAAACTTCAGCTGCAATAAGACAATGAACCATATCTGCGCAACGCGGGGCACACAACTCGTTCGAAATGCAAGCAGAAGGGCAAAACTGTTACGACTTTCCACCTCGCTCGTAGCTGAACGTCTAGCTGAGGCCTCTAATTTTTTTCGCCGTAGCCGATGAAGTCCACCACTCGCCAAATACACGCATAGCCTCTTTTACATCGTCCGTGCCACCAGGAAACCCGATCCTCACACGATTTTCGCCCAAGCCGCTGCCAGGTTCCTCGAAGTCTACACCAGGTGTCATCGCGACGCCAGTTTCTTCCAGAAGCGCTTCGCACATTTTTAACGAGTCTGTGACCCCATGCTCCTTCAGATCCACATACATGTAAAATGCCCCCATTGGAGGTGCATACTGGTGCTCCTTGATGCCCATCTTGTGAAGCCCTTCTATCACAGCAGCTCGGTTGACCTGATACCTCTTCACGTGGGCCAGGAGCTCGCCGCTCGCCTCGTGTGACAAGGCGCACACCGCTGCGCGCTGCGCTATCGTCGGCGCAGACACATTCATGTTCTGGTTAAGTGCGTCGACGCAACTATCGAGATGATCTGGAACTATGATCCAGCCCAGCCGCCATCCAGTCATGGAGTAGTACTTCGAGAAAGAATTGATGATAATTGCGTTTCGGGTGAACTCCAGGGCTGTGGCTGCACGAGGGGCTCCTTCGAAAACGATCCCATGATATATCTCGTCTGATATTTGAGGGACAAAAATTGCCATGTTTGCCAGCGTGGATCCCACACAATGGGCTTCTAGCAGTACACGTTATGCACCCTATGCTGTGCATTATATGTAGTGCAATCTCTGTTGTGCAATATCGGTTGCGCAATCTATGTGGTGCACTCTATGTGTGGCAATATATGTGGTGCAGTCTGTGGTAAAATATTAATGCGTTGCAATCGATTGCAATCGATTGGATTGTAATCGATTGCATTGCACGCGAGTGCTCTGCAACCGATTGGATTGCGATGCTCAGCAAGGCCCAAGCGGCGGGCGGCGACGGGGCGGCGACGGCAAGAAAATAGCCGCCAGCCCCTACCACGCAGCCCAGACCACAGGTGGAGACGAGGCGGCCACGGGACGGCGACGGCGGGAACATAGCCGCCAGACCGGCCACACGGCCCAGTTCCTCAGAGGACAGGTAAGAACAGCTGCAACCGAACGTATGATCAACAGAAACTATAGTTGAAGACATCTGGGCCAACTTCCCGGAGGTTGCTTTAAAGAGACCTGGGCCAATGTCTGCCGTTAGCGCTGGACGGGCGAACGTGCTCAAGGAACTTTGCCAGCTTTCCGGCAAGTTGGTTAAGACACGCTGGAACAGCTTTTCGGGAGGACAGGACAGGACAGGCGCTGAAATGCGCCCCGGAGGGCCGCCCTCTAAGAGCTCGGCGGGGGCGCCGGAGCGCCGAAACTCAGATGTCGTAGCACATGGTTACTTTACGATCTCGAGTGTGTACTATTGGCTTTACTGTACATCTTTCGGGAGGAGGTTTCTTAATCAGAAGAGGTTTCTTAATCAAATGCTCAACTGTACATGCAAGCACTGCATAGGAAAAGAGCATGAACTTGCAGAGGTCCGCGCTGATTTCTTGGATCGGCGCTGACTGCCCTTCCTGGCGCGCGGCGCGCGGCAAGAGCGCCGCCGGAGGCTCCGCGATGGGGGCCCAGCGCCGATCAAAGAGATCCGCGCCTCCGGAAGTACATTTGAAACGCTGTCACAAGGAACCCCAAATAAGGAACAAGGCTCCTCTTTTCCATGAGTTAAATTTCGATTTCCATCAGAACACCTAAGGACAGCCTAAGATAAGCTGTAAAACGCTCATTCTGCTTCGAGCGATCCCCACCGAAACCTTCGGCGTTTGTTCCCAACGGTGCGCGCGCCTACTGGAACGATGTGCGCGGGGTCCGGCGGTCTCGGCCAGCGCCGCGGCCAGGCCAGGTCGCAACTTGATGTTTTCCGACAGTCTAACAGCTCCAAGGCCCCTCACGAAAGAAACCAACAAACAAGCCCCTGGAGAGACAAACCAGTCCCCAAAACGAGTCTTGCGACGCCCCAAACCTTGTTCGGAGAGAACCTACAACCTGTTGTACTAGGAAGAGGAGGAGCAACAGCAGCAGCACGGGGAGGATGCGGACGACGAAGGAGGACGAGGAGGACGTGAGGCGGACCTCTCCTTCCTCCTCCTTCTCCGGACGCCCTGTCCTCCTCTGACGACGGGGCGCATGTCGCGCTTGTCGCGCTTAATGAGACAGTGTGAAGTGGTGGCTGGCGTATACGTAATTTTGTGCTTTATATTCGGTTCGATTCTGGCCCCGTGTAGTATCGGAGGATGGGGAATAAGATCGCAATGAAACGGAGACCCCCAACCGGGAAATCGTTTCGTTTCGTTCGTGTCGTGCGTGCGGGGCGAAGCTGCGTGGGCGCGCGAGAAGAATGAACCCGCCGTTGCTAGGGCGAGGTCAAGACAAATGTTTCTCCTCGGTCCGTCCGTCTGGCGGTGGCCCTAGCGGTGTCCCGCGGTGTCCCGTGGTGTACCGTGGTGTCCTGTGGTGTCCGCCGTTGCTAGGGCGTCAAGACACATGTTTCTCCTCCGTCCGTCCGTCTGGCGGTGGCCCGCGGTGGCCCGCAGTGTCCAGTGGTGTCCCGTGGTGTCCGCCGCTGCTAGGGCGAAGTCAAGACAAATGATTCTCCCCCGCCCGACCGTCCGTCCGTCCGTCCTGCGATGGCTCGCGGTGTCCCGCGGTGTCCCGTGGTGTCCCGTTGAATGAGATCGAGAATAAGATCGATACTGAGATCGATGTGGTGCGCCGAGGTGTCCCGTGGTGTCCCAAAAAGTGAGATCGATAGTGAAATCGATAGGGAGATCGACAGGTGTCCCGTGGTGTCCCGTTGAGTGAGACCGATAGTGAGATCGATCGTGAGATCGATACTGAGATCGATGTGGTGCCCCGAGGTGTCCTGTGGTGTCCCAAAAAGTGAGATCGATAGTGAGATCGATAATGAGATCGACAGGTGTCCCGTGGTATCCCATGGTGTCCCGTTGAGTGAGATCGATCGTGGGATCGATAATGAGATCGATGTGGTGTCCCGAGGTGTCCCGTGCTGTGCTGTGATGTCCCGTTGAGTGAGACCGATAGTGAGATCGATCGTGAGACCGATAATGAGATCGAGAGGTGTCCCGCGGTGTCCCGTGGTGTCCCGTGGTGTCCCGTGGTGTCCCGTTCAATGAGATCGAGAACAAGATCGATAGCGAGATCGACAAGTGTCCCGTGGTGTCCCGTTGAGTGAGATCGATAGTGAGATCGATTGGGTCAGATGTTGGTTCCCCCCCCTCTCCCCACCATAACCTCCTTATCACCCGAAGGGTGGTCGTATTATAGGTATTACATTATGTTTTGGTTTGCTCTGTTGTGGACTGGCCTGCGGGACGTCGTGACGCCTTTCACCTTTGTTATGCCTTCTAATTGGGTCGGGGCTGCTATTGTTTGTTTCTGTGGTCAGCCTGGGCTTTGCGCGCATTTTGCGTATGATAGGCCGCCAGAAGTAGGTCTCTGTTGAATTCTGCTCTATCGCGGTGTGTTCTGTTCTATGCTCATATGATTGTTGTTATTGTTGTTGTTGTTGTTGTTGTTGTTGTTGTTGTTGTTGTTGTTGTTGTTGTTCTGATCTCGACGGGGCGGCGGACGTCGTGACGCCTGTCACGTTTGATATGCCTAATCGATCGTTGCCGCGCCTGTTTCTTCCTGTGGCCAGGCGCGGATGCTAATGCGCGCTTGCTTTGTCGTTGCTGTATTTTCGATTGCGTCATGCTCGACAAGGTTCTACCCTGCTGTGCTACAATATGCTCTTTTATGTTGTAAACGGGACGGCGTGACACCGTGACGCCTGTCACGTTAGATACGTCGTCCGATCGGCCGTTGCTGGTCGTTGCTGCGCCTCTTTGTACCTGTGACCGGGCCAACTTCGGCGCGCACGTTGCGTTTGATTATGTTATGGTACGGCGTGGTCTGTTATGAAGTTCCTCTTCAAGTTGATGTTCCCCTTCTGTCAAAATAAGCTAATTATGTTCACCTCTGTCATTGTATGGTTTGATATGATATGATATGCTCTGCTCTGTGGCACCACGCTATGACATGCTACGTATGTTCTGTCAGGTTCGGTTATGTTATGCTATTCGATGTGATGTTGTTCAGGGTATGGCCAGTTCGTTATAGTATTCTACGCGGGGTTATAGCCAATCATGTTATACCTAAATCGTTGGCGTAGGAGTAGCAGTAATGCAACACTTATGTTATGCTATGATGGTTGCGACGTGCTCCAGTCGTTATGAAATGCTGATTTGAATATGCTCTATTACGTTGTGCTATATTATGTCTGTTTTGTTCTCGACGGGCTGGCGTGACGCTGTGACGCCTGTCATGATAGCTCCGTCGTCAGATCGTTCGTTGCTGCGCCTGTTCGCTCCTGTGGCCAGCCTGACCTCGGCGCGAACCTTGAAAAATATTATGTTGTGATGGAATGCTTTGTCATGTGATGAAATGCTGTGACCCTGTGATATAGTATGATGTGTTATGCCATTGTGTGAAATTGTATGCTCTGTTCCATTACGCTATGTTATGGTGTGCTCTGCCCTTGTTTGCTATGGTTCGTGGTGATATTTCATGATCCTTACGATCCATGATGTCATTGCATGCGTTGCTATGGTGTGTCCTGTTATGGCGTGCTCTGCCATGCTATGAAATGGTATGCGCTGTTAGGGTATTGCGTTATGTTCTACTATGGTATGCGATGATCTAATGCGTCATGCCGCGTTCTGTCATTGTATGATGTGTCATACTATGGAACGATCTGTGATTTGAATATGTGCTGCTGTGTGATCTGTGCTGGTATGGAATAAAATTGTATAATATGGTATGTCATGGTATGGTCTAGTATGCTCTGCTATGTTATGGTATGAGGTGTGGAGTGATGGCATGGTCTGCATACCATGTAAAGCCTTAGTTTATGGTGTCATACTACGGTGTACCCGATATGATGTAACATCGTATGCCGCGCTCTGCCATGCTATGAAACGACACCTGTGATGCGATGACATGTATGAACGCATACACAAAGATCATGCTACATGCGCCTGTGATGAGGGGTTCAGTTAAGGTGGGTTCTGTCATGGTATCCGATTGTATGATATGTCAGGCCATGTTACGTTATGGAATTATATACCATATCATGTTATGTGGGTTCCGAACTGTCACCATATGCGGTGGTCTGCTTTGCTGTGTTATGCGATGACGCTATGGCATGTTATGTGCGGAGGTGACATGTTTTATAGTGCTACGTTCAGTTATGCAATGGTTTCTTGTGGCGCGCTTGCTTTGTTATGCTATGGAAGGCTCTGTGCTGTGATGATGTGCTTATGATCTGCACTGTTATGTCATGGTGTGTGTTGCTACGATATGCTATGCCATGCTATTGTATGACATGCTCGGATATTGTATGTTAGGCGGTGTGGTGTTATGCGCTTTTCTGTCATACATTATCGTGTTGTGTTGTATTACGTTCTGCTCATTCATAATGCCGCTCTGTCATGGTGTGATGTGTCGCTGCGGAGCGGGACACTCGGGGATACTCGTGGGATCTGGGGATCTGGCGGCCGCGATCTGCAGAGGGGCGCGAGGCGGGACTCTCGGGGATACTCGGGAGTCTGGGGATCTGGCGGCCGCGGTATGCAGGGTGGGCGGGTCGGGAGGTCTGTTCTTAAAACCTAACGACCCCAACCGGTCGGGTGGGGAATGAAGGACCACTGGGCCCCTCCCCAACGAGCAAGGTTCCTTCTTCAGCGGCCCGGCTGCCTATGCTCAGTCGTTGTTTGTCCCCCGAGATATGAACTGGACACCCGTGTCGTCGCACAGCCTGCAGAGCTCCCTCAGCTCCTCGGGGAAGAGCATGGCGCCCGTAGGATTCGCGGGGCTGGACAATATTAGACCCTTCAAGGGTGTGAGGCCTCTCTGTTGTCGGTCCGCCTGGCCAGAAGCTAACCCTGCAGCCGTCACGTTGTCCACCAACCTCCGCTCGAGGCACCAGGCTACGATGCCGTTGCAGGGAGGCGTCCTCGATGTTGTCCCTTGTCTTCTCTCTCTCTCTCTCCCTCCCTCTCCCTCCCTCTCTCTCTCTCTCCTTCTCTCTCCCATTCTCTTTTTCCTCCCTCTCTGGCCGACGACGGCACCCAACCGATTCCGGAGGAGGACGCCCACAGCGTGCTTCACGGCCTCCCGTCGTCCTTCGACGGGCCCGGGGACATTCCAGCCGACGACGACTACGACCCCTTCGGCCTCGGAGGGTCGATGGAGGCCTTCCCAAACTCGGAGGGTTCCAAGAGGGGCTTTTGGGGAGGGGGTTTTCCAGAGAGCTCCCCAGGGGCCTCGGAACCTCGTCAAAACAGGGGGTGCGAAGCCCCTGGGGGACCCCTCCTGGAAAACCCCCTCCCCAGAAACCCCCGTTGGAACCCTCCGGCAAACGACAACGAGCCTCCTCTCGGCGGACAGCCGAGCGAAGGGCCGCCTCAGGCGCCAGCCCACGCGTCGCAGGGCCCGCCTCAGGCGCGGCCCACCCGTGACAGCACCCCAACGCCCACCACGCGAAGCGGCCCCGCGGTCGCAGGGGACGAACCACTCCCGCCCCCGGACCCCAGGGAAACTCACCGAGACAGCAGCCACGCCAGTGACTACGACTCACCCGGTCACCGCGCACCACAAAAGAAAAAGCGGCCACCCGTCCGCGGATCCAGCGCGCGCAGGAGGCCCGAGCGCGGTGGCCCCCAGACCTCTGCAATCCTGACAGAGGTAAGCAAACGTGTCTCCTCTGCTGAGTGGAAGAAGTCGCCCGTGCTCTCGAACCGGCCGCCTTCGCTGGCCTCTGTCTCGGCCTGCCACCACGGGACGCGTCCGACCTCCAGCGTCGCCACGCGCACGAAATCTGCGAAGAAGCCTGGAGCAGAGGCGACCAGAGACGCCGCGACCGCCATCACCACATTGCCGCGCTCACGGGCCCTGCGCTGAACCACGCACTACATCTGATGAGTGACGGATGCACGCCGTGGCGCTATGGACGCGAACTTGGACTGTCTTGACCCTCCGCCAGGGCAATTACCAAGGCCGTCCTCATTCCACCGCGGCCCACCTGCCGCCCGCTGCGCCACCCGACCCACCCGACGACGATACACCGCACCCTGAAGCGGCGTCCTCACACAGGTTCGCCCCGCGGCAGCGGCGTGACCGCACGGCCAGGTTCTCCTTCGACGGGCACCACTGAATCAGGCAAGTCGACCCCTTCGCCAACGACGACGGTTCCAACGACTCCGGCGTCCGAGGGCCCGACGACGCGCCCAGTCACCCACCTGGCCTCCCCGCCGACGCCCCTCCAGGCGTTGACCCCGAGGGGCCAGCTCAGCTCGTTTCCCCGTCGCCCCCCCGACGACGTCGCATGCCGGCTCAGCGGCGGCGGGGCGTGACAGCAGCGATGTTTCCATCGCCAACGTCAGCAACATCTCGACGATTGACGACGACCCACCCCCGACGAATCCAAGGCCACACTGCCCAGGCCCCGCCCACACTGGCCAACGGCTGCCCGTCGCCACGCCACCCCCTCGGCCACTCCCAGGCTCAGCCTCGGCAGTCGGAGTGGGCCCCGCTCAGGCAGCCCACCGGCCAGCGCATGTCCAGGGCCTGACGCTGCAACGCGTCGCGACGGCCAGGGGCACCCCCGCCCCCAGCGATCGATCCATGACCCCGGACTCGGAGCAGCCGCCTCAAGCGGCACGCGATCACCAGACCGCCTCGGCGGCGGGCCCAGCCGCCGAGGACGCTCCTGCCACCGCTCACGGCACCGTGGCTGGTGCGACGACGGGCTGCCCTGGGTCACCCACGTCCGACTCGGAACCGCCGCGGCCCCCCATGGCCCCAAACCCACCAGCGGCGCCGGACAGGCCACCCGGCGGGCCTCCACCGACGGCGCTTGCCACCGCCGGTGTCGCGGCCTCGCGCCCAAACGAGGCATTCCTCGACCCCCGACAGATCATCGGGCGCAAAACGGTCACGCTCTACGGGCCCTTGCCGCCGCCGCCGCACGTCCATTCCCCGCGCGGGCACTACCTGTGGAGTCTCGACGGCAACGCCTGGCTGCGCGCCGCCGACCCCCGCCACTTCTCCAACAACTGGCCGACTGCGGAGGCATCGGCGCGCATCGGCTTGCTCTCGCGCCAACTCGACGGTGACCCACTGCCAGCCAGCAGCGCCGCGTCTCCTGCCCGCCCTACGGGCCCTGGCCTGCCTCGCCGTCTGGCCCCCCTCGCCACGAGGACCCAGACCGCTCCAGGCGCGCCCCGCATTCTCTGGGGTCCCCCTCCCACTCAGGCTCTGGCCGAACGCTAAGGAATTTTACCCGTGGCGCGCAGAGCCTGGCAAGCCGCTCGGACGGCCGCGC